ACATGGTGCAGGAGGCTTATGGTCCAGTTCTGAGGCCTCTTGTCAGACCTGCCTACAGAAAACCATATCCAGATTTCATAGACCAAGAGAATCCTTTTCCAAGGGGGTTCAAGGTTCCAGAATTCACTCTATTTTCTGGAGATGGTGGATATTCTACAATTGAACACATAGGCCGCTTCACAATTTAGTGTGGCGAGGCCTCCGGTGATGATAATCTGAAGCTCAGACTTTTTCCCAGCTCATTAACTAGTACAGCTCTCACCTGGTATCTAAGTCTGCCACAGAATTCTGTTTATACTTGGAGGCAGATGGAAGATCTTTTTCACATCCAGTTCTACCGCAGTGAGCCAGAAGTATCCATGGCAGATTTATCTCGTCTGGTACAGCGACCTGGAGAAACATCTGAGGCCTTTTTGGCCAGATTTCGGAAGGCCAGACTTAAGTGCAGAGTTGCCCTGCCAAAACAGGAATTTGTTAAGCTGGCACAAAATGGTCTGGACATTGAATTGAGGAAAAAGTTTGAGGGAATGGAGTTTCGTGATTTCTTTGAGTTGTCTTACAAGGTGGCTCGTTATGAAAATCTATTGCGATAGGACACACAAAGGAAATCTGCATCTCATGGGACGTATTATGGTGATGCCAACTTTGATCTGGACGTGGCAGAAGTGGTGGCAGACAAGCCAGTTGTTTGCCCAGATTTAGTTAAAGTGGCCCAACAGACCGACAGAACAGTAAAACGTTATGTCGGAGAGGCTGGAAAACAATACACCTTTGACATTTCAAAAACTAATGAAATTTTTGACCACCTTAAAAGGAGTGGTCTAATTAAATTGCCGCCGGGACATAAAATCCCAATGGCTGGCGAAATTGGAAATAGAGAATATTGCAAATATCACAATTCTTGGAAACATTCCACTAATGATTGTGTGATTTTTCGGAATGTTTTACAGGAGAAAATCGACAAGGGAATTCTGCGTTTTCCAAATAAGGCCAAAGAAACTATGGGAGTTGATGCAGATCCATTCCCTACCATGTCTATTGGGGTGAATGCGGCAGATCTCAGGAGCATTGCCAGGGACAGATCTCAGACATACTATAGGCGCAGACTTGTAGCTGATGATCTGAGGTGGGTCATTGAGGAGGCCAGGACCCGCAGAAATCAGGTCAGATCCGGTTCATACCGAAGGAGACAGCCCGGGGGGCACAACTCAACTCAACAGAAAAATAATGCAAATCTGGCAAAAAAGCCCAGAATGGTGAAACCACCACCCAGATCTCCAACCAAACGGTGGGAACGTGTGGTGCATCCAAAATTTCCTAAAGGTCAGAATCCAAGGACCTTGAGGAGACGTTTACAACGCAAAAGGGCTGCAGAAAGACACCAACAGCAGATTACAAACTCGGGGGGCATGGCAGATCAGGCTCAGCCGCTCCCAGCAAGAAGAAAATCAGTGTGGGTCCGTAAAGAAAAAGGGAGCTCATCTGGTCAGAATGCTCCAAAAAAGGGAGAACCACCCAGAATTCCAACATCACCTCGAGTTCTGGCTGTGGAATCCAATGAAGAAACTGGTTTGAAGGCGAAGTTTGACGTGCCAGATAAAGCGAAAAATTCATCAGATGTAATCTGTTTTGGTGAGTTTTCCGTGAATCTATCTTGTTTGGTGATCACCCTTCCTTTAGTCTTTCAAGCAAGAGACCAGTTAGAATCTGCAGTCTGTCACCAGACAGATTTGACTGAGGAGGAAGAAGTCATTGAGATCCCAGCTAAGGAAGAGGGAGGCATGGATTCAGCAGATAAAATCATTTTCGAAAAACCAGAAGAGAGGATGGCCAAGCACATCAGGCCATTATACATTTAGGCACATCTGGATGGTATGCCAATAAATCGAGTTCTGGTGGATAATGGAGCAGCTGTCAATGTTTTGCCAACTTGTATTCTGCACAAGATTGGCAAATCGTTGGGTGATTTAATGGAGACAGAAGTGACAATCAGTGACTTTACTGGTGGAGTAAACCGCTCAAGGGGAATTCTGCCGGTGGAGCTGACCGTTGGGAATAGAACTCTCATGTGTGCATTCTTTGTGGTTGACACCATTGCCACTTATAATGCATTGCTTGGGAGAGATTGGATACATTCCAGCTGGTGCGTTCCTTCAACTCTGCATCAGAAATTAATATTCTGGAACGGTGGCAGAACTGAAGTCGTGACAGCAGATGACAAACCGTTTGTGGCAAGTACCAATGCTGTGGAAGCTCGTTATTATGATGAAGTTATTGGGACTATCCGTTTCTTCGGGATGGACCGCTATGGCAGACCTTCTGGAATTACTGCCTGCACCAGATCTGCAATGGACAGACAGACTGTGAAGGAGGTGTGTGATGAACTACTTCGGCCTACAGCAATTGTTCCTTTTAGGCCGAGGGAGGAACCTGAAATCGAAGAAATTCCATGAAGCAAGACCGAATTAAGCATAAGAAAAAGGAGGCCGTGGAAGAAATCAAGAGAAAGTTAGCGGCTTACCTTGCTGAAAAACAAATCTGTGTAGACAGATCTGAAGTAGTCTATGAAGGTGAAGAGGAAGATTTGAAGGATCAGATAACACTAGAGGAATTAGATCTGGCACCAGCAAAACTTGATGATTTGAAGGCAGAAGTACAAGATCCCCTGGAGGAGGTAAATCTGGGTACTGAGGCAGATCCGAAAATTACTTTTATTAGC